CTAGAGAGTAAAGAAGAACACAGTTTATTGAATAGCTGAGCTTTACTTTTTAAGAGAGAAGGTATGGTTGGAGAGGGGAGAGGAGAGAGAGCGCGTATGTATGTATATGTGGGTTTTATTGTGGACGTCAAAATTGTATTGGATCGGATTGAATATTGTCCTCCTAATTTCATTCTCTCCCTCGAAGTCAAATCTCTTCTTCTATGAATTGGAGATGTGCATACGTTGATGTATGTATGTATGTTTCTAATACATGTATGTATGTCAATTTTTTTCTATATGCATATAAGGGAAGAGGGGACGAGTGTATGAGATAACCACAAGTATTTATTAAGCCCATGTTCGATTCTCGTTCTTTTAAAAATATATTTTTTTAATAGTTATTTTTATTCATACATGTTTTAATAAAATGATATTAAACGTAAATTCAAAACTTTTTTTTAATTTTTAATCACACATTTTTCATCAATCTACTATTCAAAATGTATTATTTCCCCCAAAATGAAAATCAAACCATGGTTAAATCATTCCTTTTTATATAATTACATATAAATGATTCAAAATCATGTAGATGTGTAAATTTAGGTTGAATTTGATTCGTAAAACGTGAGATGTGTATATTCAAGTTGAGCTCGATACAAAAAAGGTGGTGGGTTTGCCCCTCGGGGCACAGCTCAACTGGCTGATCAATCAAAATTGGCTTGCTTCCAGCGGCAGGGTGGAGAGTTCTATTCCTGGTGGGAATCTGCAGCCAAAAATTTGGTATAGAGCAATCACTGTGGAGGAGGATCTCTTGTGCGCAGAAGTGTACAGTGAATGGGGGGAACCTGTGATTCAGTTGAAGCATAACCCGCGATTTACCCCTCCAAGGTTCTAGGAGTATGGGTCTTGGAGGTCCAAAATTTAATCTGGTGTAAATTGGGATACCTGAATATAAAAAAAAAAAAAAAAAAAAAAAGGGGGGGGGAAAAGGGGGGCCAAAAAAAAAAAAAAAAAAAAAAAAAAAAGGTGGTGGGTATAAATTTAGGTAGAGTTTGATATTTAGAGGTAAGACAAGTTGCTCTTATGCCTAATCTCAAGATCTACAGGTTACTTAAACCCCTTTATTATTCTTTTTCGATAAAAGAAAAAGAAATTTTGCTGTTTCAATCATAACTCTTTAAGCTAATAATTGAATATTTCAAATAGACTAAGGGCTTGTTTGAGCCACATTATTTTCAAAAAAATACATTTTTCAATAGTAATTTGACATCATTTCAACCACACATTTTTCAATAAAATAATATTACATACAAATCTAAAATTTTTTCTTATTTTGAGCCACACATTTCTCATTGATTTGACATGAATAATGCATTCTTTTTCCTAGGATGTGGCTCAAACATGGGCCAAATAACCCATTGCAATTTTTATTTTTTATTTTTTTTGGATGAGTTACTTTGTATAACTACAAACATTTTTTTTTTGTTAGAACATACTGAAGGTTTCAAAAGTTTAAAAAAAAAAACAAACAAAAAAAAAACATCAAAAGACAATCTAACTCAAAAGAATATTGGCTTTCATGGCATGGATGTAAATATAAATCAAAGTTAACATTTAAATTTTACAATATATTTATGTGATTCATAACTTTTCTGTTGGAGAAAATGAGTAAATGACTCATTTTTGGCATAATTTTCGGTGAAATTCGTTGGTCCAATTTGAAATATTAAAGTTGATTCGTGTTCTCCTCCGTGAAAGCATCAAAACCATATATTTACTTGCCAAAATTGATTAATGAGAAATTGGAGCTCAAAGTTGACCATTGGTAGATGGTTTATGTGGGAAAAATTAAGTTTGTCCAACATAGGAAAAATATGAAAGCAAAAATCACTTTAAATATGGTTGCACATTGGAAATGTGTAATCACGTGTAGTATAAAGACTCTCTTTCCAAGTGCTCGAGCAGGAGAATGCAAATCATGAACCAAAATAACCTTCGAATCTTGAACTTGTGTGTGGGCGCGACCTGTATACATAAATGTCAGACTGAATGGAGCAAAATTGACCCATTTGGAGTGTCAACGTTTTGTAATTTTATTTTATTTTTTACTTTCTCCTACTGACCTTTAAATTTCCTGAAACTGTCAAAACTCCCAGAAATTGAACCAACTCCAGTGTTTATTACTATGGAGTTAATAAACAGATTTAAACTTATATTAAAGGTCATTTTTCCAGCAGTTCCAGCACATACGGAAAAACTCTCAGTCAGAAAACACACGAAATTACACTGTTCAATCGTCTGCATATTATTTTGTATACATATACAATTTTCATCTGGGTGATGATATTGTTCAGACGCTAAATCAGTTCGTCGGAGTAATATCTGTGGTGCTCAGATTTTACAGGTTTTACCGTTGTATTTAGGGAAACAGACATTCAGATTAGACCTCAAGCACTAACGGTGAGCGGCGAATCTATTTTAAGGAAACTGTGTTCGCACAGGTTTTGAGTTGAAAATTCATCTGTTATTTATGTATTTTACAATTATACATTTGCAATTTATTCTTGCAGATTTATTTATTCAACGATTTACACGTTTGCAATTTACTTGATTCATATATTTGCAGTTTACTTATTTGTTATATTTATGTTAGAAATAAAAATTGAAAAAGGAAAAAAATATATATATCAGAATTTTCTTGCTAACAGTTGGTAAATGCAATTCGGTATATGTAAGTTATATATACGATATTTCTATGTGTAAGTGAAAATACGGTCAAATACATATATAGTAGGTAGCATATACGGTAAGCTGCAAATACGATAGGCAGCATATACGGTCAAGCTGCAAATACGGTAAGTTGCCTGCAAATAAGTAGGCTGCAAGTACAGTAAGTTGCCTACAAATACGGTATCTAAACTATATATACGGTATGTGATAATCTGATTTCATTAACACCGCTAAATTCCAACAAGCTTAAAACATATTTCTAAGGAAAAAAAAAATTGTTCCTTATACTGTTAATTTTAGAAACTAATTTTTTTGCTTGACTTTCAGAAATGGTAACCAAATTGACTAACATGGATGTGACCCAAAATGTGCCTACTAGAATCAAACTGTGGGCTCTGCTGTAGTTCAATGGCCAAGCTCTCTTGTAGCTCAGACTGTGGCTAAATTGTTAAGTCATGTTGTGAGTCAAAATGTGGCTCCAACAACTGCCCATACCATCAATTTTCCAGTCAATCATGGAAAAAATTGGAGAAATTCAATTGCTTGGATTTCAAAATGTGGCATTAGAAAATGCTATTTTACCTGACCACTTTGAATTTTCCGAGATTTTTGACTAAAACAGCTCCAAAACTCAATTAGGGTGAGGGAGATGTTTAAACAATCAGTGCACTTAATGCTTTGAACCATTCAAAATTTTTGTGCCAAAACTATATTATGAACAGCTTACCAGACACACTATAGTATGTGTATAATACTATGAAAGCTGCTAAGGAATTGTGAGAGTCGTTGGACTGAAAATATAAAACTGAGGATGCCGGGGCTAAAAGTTTATTGTCGGTAGATTCTTGGATTATAAAATGGTGGACTCCAAAACAGTTATCAATCCAAGTGTAAGAACTCCAAGTGATTCTTCACGAAATTCATGCCGAAGGGATGATGTTGAGTGAAACTTTTCAAGTGACTGCAATTATTGAAAAATTGTCCCTCGCATGGAAAAATTTCAAGAATTATTTGAATCACAAACGAAAGGAAATGAACGTCGAAGAACTAATCGTTAGACTTGAAATTGAAAATTACAACAAGAGTTCTGACAAGAAGTTATTTGA